TGGCTCAGCCTGTAATCCCAGCACTTTGGGAGGCCGAGGCGAGTGGACTGCCTGAGCCCGAGGGTTTGAGACCAGCCTGGGCAACTTGGCAGGACCTCATCTCTACAATAAATCAAAAATTAGCTGGGTGCAGTAGTACGTGCCTACAGTTCTGGCTACTTGGAAGGCTGAGGCAGAAGGATCGCCGGAACCCAGCAGGTCAGTGCTAGGGTGGCCATGAGAGTGTCACTGCACTCTAGCCTGGGCAACGGAGAGAATCCAACTAAAAAAAAAAAAAAGAATATACATATATATTTAAACTTTAGAAAGACAACCCTGCCAGTTTGCTACAAAAAAACAAGGACTACTATATAAATCAAGAGGGATTCTGGCAAATTTCTACCAGTTATAAGGACTACCACACAACAGATCTAATTATACCCCAGAAACTTTCCCAATATCTGTAATTGTATATCACAGCCACAAATATTTATTTACAGCTTTGGAAAGACATAAGTCTCTCTCCCTCTTTCTAGCAGGTTACACACAACCTAAGGAAAAGCAAAGAGTATTTTTTCATTCTTCAGATCTTAGTATATCAACTTATATTTCATCTACAGTTTTAATTCACATTACCAAATTTTAGCATATGTCATTACAAATAAACTGCTTCTAAGGTTGTCTAAACACTTGCTATTGAGTTAAATATATAATCTATTTAAGCAATCAATTTCCTTTCTTAATGAGTTACAATTAGATTTACCAAACTTTAAAAAAATATGTTATTTATAAAGACTTCTCATCTGTTTTCCCTATAATTTTACTGCAACTCTACCTTGAAGAAACCAACTTCAAATACAATTATCTATGATATATAAACTTTAGTTATGTGAAAATACAAAAGATATTACTTACTCTAAAGAAAAGATCAAGAGAATCTTGAATTGAACGAGGAGGGAGTGGTTTTTTCCTACGAGGAAGGTCAATAGAGAGGTCATTAAACTGTTCTCTTTTGGGAATAATCTCTCCACATCTGTGAGAATAAAAGAAGACAAATGCAAATATTTAGAGAATCACAAAAGAAATATAAGTACAGCTGAGACACAGATCTTGTGGTACTGACACACTGTGCCTAGGCATAAGAACTATACACTTAAGACTTATCTCAGTTACTTTAATTGTTATTAAATCAATACAGATAAAAGCTCAATTGCAAGTATTTAAGTACTTACTTAAAATGCTAAATTTTAAAATTTTATATTTAAAAACTCCAAACTTTAAAAAACTAAAGTATAACATACACAATGGAAAGTGGACCAGTCCCATATATATAGCTTGATGAATTATCAGTTAGTGCACCTATATAATCACAACTCAAATAAAGAAACAGAACATTATGAACTCACTAGAAGGCTCTCACTTACCCCTTCCCAATCACTACCTTCTTCCTTCACTCAAAAGGTAACTATTACTCTGACTTCCAACACATAGTTGAGTTTTGCCTGTTTTTGAACTTTATATAAATGGAATCACACATTATGTTTTCTTTTCGCTGGCACCCTTTTGTTCAGCATGGGTATAAGATTCAACCATGCCTGTGGCACATGACTGTATTGCATTTTCATTGTTGTCTAGTATTGATCTGTATAAATATTCCATAATTATCCATATTACTACTGATGAACATTTGAGTTGTTTCCAGTTTTTGGCTATATAAGCAATGCTGTTTTGAAAATTCTGTGTGTTCTTGCCGGGTGTGGTGGCTCAAGCCTGTAATCCCAGCACTTTGGGAGGTTGAGGCGAGAGGATAGCCTGAACCCGCTGATTCAAGACCAGCCTGGGCAACATGGTGAGACCCTGTCTCTACACTAAATCAAAAAATTAGCTGAGCGTGGTAGCGCGTGCCTGTAATTCCAGCTACTTGGAAGGTTGAGGTGGAAGGCTCGCCAGAGCTCGGCAGGTCAACCCTGGGGTAGCCGTGAGTGTGCCACTGTACTCCAGCCTGGGTGACAGAGATTCCAACTCAAAAAAAAAAAAAAAAAAAAAAGAAAGAAAATTCTATGTGTTCTTGATGCCCATGTGTAGATGCTTCTGTTAGGGTGCAGAATTATTTGGTTATTGAATATCTTTTTATACAGTTTTTAAAAATGGGCTCGGAGATTAAAACACAATATTGAATTTACTTGGAAGCAAACTTCTTTCTTTTCTTTTTTTTGAGACAGGGCCTCACTCTGTTGCCCAAGCTAGAGTGCAGTGGCACAATCATAGCTCACCGCAGTCACAATTCTGGGCTCAAGTGATCCTCCCACCTCAGCCTTCCGAGTAGCTGGGACCAAAGGCATGAACTACCACACCCAGCTAATATTTTGATCTGTAGAGACAAGGTCTTGCTGTGTTGACCAAGCTACACAAATTTCTTTCTTTCTTTTTTTTCCAGTTGGAGTCTCACTCTGTCACCCAGACTAGAGTGCAGTGGCACGCTCCCGGCAACCGCAGCCTCGACCTGCTGGGTTCTGGTGATCCTTCCGCCTCAGCCTTCCAAGTAGCTGGAACTACAGGCGCATGCTACCACGCCCGGCTAAGTTTTGATTTACTGTAGAGATGAGGTCTTGCCAAGTTGCCCAGGCAGGTCTCAAACCCTCGGGCTCAGGCAATCCACTCACCTCGGCTTCCCAAAGTGCTGGGATTACAGGCTGAGCCACCGAGCCCAGATCAAATTTATTTCTTTTAAATAGTTTTTACCAGCTGCTTTTCATTTTGTCATATCAGCATTTTTAGTAATATTCAATTTTCTACCACAGCATTTTTAGTAATATTCAATTTGCTGACACAGCTGAAGACAGAAGAGCATAAGAGCATGTTTGTTCTTTATTCAACAAATGTTTCTTGAGTGCCTCTCTAACATGCATAATTCTAAGGTGTCCCTCGCCTTCATAATAATTCTGTCTCCTTTGAGTTTGGGTAGAACCTCTGATGATAACAAGGTATAACATATAGGATGTTACTTTATCTAGCAAAAAAGAATTTTGCCAATACAATTAAGGTTATTAATCTCCTTTTTTACTTCATCAAATGAGAGATTATGTGGGTGGGTCAGATCCAATCACACATGCCCTTTAAACATGGGACTAGAGGACCCAAACAGAGGAAGTCTGGGATTAGAAATCATAAAGATATACTCCTGCCAGCCTGGGAACAAATGCAAACAGCACTGCTGTGGACTGCCTAGGGAGCCACATGGCAAGGAAATGTAGGGCAGCCTTTAGGAAATGCGTGGTCTCAGCTGACAGCTAGCAAGAAAATGGGAACTTCAGTCCTACACCACAAGGATTTGCTTTCTGCCCACTAAACTAATGAGATAGAAAAGAACCTTGGGCGCCAAATGAGAACTCAGGCAGTTAATGCCTTTATTTCAGCCCTGTGATACTCTGAACAAAGAACTCAGCCATACCTTGTTCAGATTTCTGACTAACAGAGCTGAGTTAACAAACAGATGCTGTTTTAAGCCAATAATGTTGAAGCAATCTGTTATACAGCACCAAAAAACTAAGACAGCCTCCTATATGCCAGAAAATTTTCCAGGCACTGGGGTTATAGCAGTGAATAAACCAAGACAAATATATCTCCCCTCATGAAGCTTTCAATATACTGAGGGAGACAGACAATGAAAGAGACACATAAGTAAAACAGTATGTTAGATAGTGACCCATGCTAAGGAGGAAAAACACAGTAGGAAAGAGGAAAGTAAAAGATCAGAGTAGATGCTTGGAATTTTAGATAGGGTGGCAAGAAAATGTGTCACTGAGCAAATGACCTTTATGCAAAGACCTGGAGAAATGAGGGCACTGCCTATGTGAGAATACGGGAAAAGAGAATTCAAGATAGAGGAAAAAGTAAGTGCAAAGGCCCCGAGGCACCGTGACTCTGGCATTTTTGAACAAGAACATTAATTTAATTAAAACAGAAAAAGCAAAAGAAAAGAGTGATAGAAGATAAAGTCAGAGAATGAGTAGGAATGGGGAGTACAGAGAGGTAGATTATATGAGATGGCTAATTTTATGAGCAGAGGGCTGACATGAACTAACTTCCATTTTAAAAGGATCACTTTGGTTAATGTGTTTGAAATAGACCTCAGAAAGACAAGAGTAGAAGCATGGTGACCTGACTAAAAGATGCAACATGTCAGCCGGGCTCGGTGGCTCAGCCTGTAATCCCGCGCCTTTGGGAGGCTGAGGTGAGTGGATTGCCTGAGCCCGCAGGTTCGAGACTCGCCTGGGCAGCGAGACCTCATCTCTACAATAAATCAAAAAAATCAGCCGGGTGTGGTAGCGCACGCCCGTAGTTCCAGCTACTCGGAAAGTTGAGGCGGAAGGATCGCCG